GGAAGATGTCAGCGCACCTAAATAATACACAGCAGGCAAAGGAGTTAAAACTGCTCAAAGAGCTAAACTACTTTCTGAAGCTATCAAGTGCTATGGATAAAGAAAGGGGTTCTCTGTGAGTTAGAGAACTTTATATTCTAAACATTTATAACTCAACAAAACAAAACAATCTTGGTTTCTGCCTCTTGAAACAACTTTAGAACCTCTTCCTGATCTTTAATGCCATACTTCCACTGGTTCTTCTGAACAAAAATAGTGACTCTTCTTGTCTTTCCATGGCTGACCTGTTTCTGTTTTTAAATTAATATCACCTGTTTTTACCTTTCAGACAGGCTTTTGCAGTCTGCTGACTTTAGAACAGAAGGTCCTTCCTCCCCCACGGATCACAAATTTATGAAGAGGTGGGTAACTGGGGATGTACCCTGTGTAAATCATGCGTAAAAGAGAACTTGTGGCCCCTGTGGTAGTGTGCGCTGAACACTGCTGGTTAGCATTGTTTGAAGTCTGGCCCACCCTAAAAGCTAGGCATGGAGGCAAGTACCTGTGGTTGCATGGGGAGCTGAAGCAGGAAGATTGCAGCCTAATAAGACTCTGTCTAAAAACCACACACACACACACACACACACACAGAGGATCAGCAGATGGCATAATGGCTACATCGTTGGACTCCCATGTAGTTGACCACGGTTTGAGTTCCAAACGTCGTGGATTAAAACTCATGCCAGGCGCGTGTGTGTGCGTGCCCAAAATCCCTAGAGGAGAATGAAGGAGAAGGGATTACAACATGGCTATCCACCCTGGGTGGTGATTTCTAGGTTTCTGTCTGTCTGTCTCTCTCCAGCGAGCACAAGTGTCCTCTAGCAAAAATCTCTCCAAAAAAAAAAAAAAGTACACATACACACATTACACAAAAAAGAGAACATGTAACATTAATGTTAAAACTGGCTATTTCTTCTTCATACAGGTTTTAGTAAACAATAAAAATCATATATCAAAATTTTAAGTGTGTAGTCTTTCTTTCCATAACGGTAACTAAGACAGTGAATCACTTAAATTCATAGTGATTTTGTAATGACAGATATTTCAGATAAGACTGTCTCCAAAACAAAAAAATTCATGGGTTTAAGTTTTGGGTGGGGGAAGAGAAATGATTATTTTAACATATCATGGGTAAAATATTAGATTAAAATATAAACAAACATGTAAAATTACATACAGTTAATTCAGGTAATAAGTACTATTTTCTTTTTCCAGAGTGTGTATGCACTTGCCAGAGACAAAAAGAAACAGAAACAGAGAGCACCCCCCAAAGTGCCATGGTCACACTGCAGTTCTTTTTCCTCCATTTTTCCTTCCCATCAGGATTTGGGGCATTCACACATATGTGTCCAGTGTGCTTTTTAAACCACCATGGCCATGATTTGAACTATAGTCAGCCATGTGGGATCTGGCTCCCCAGGCAAGTGCTTACTGCTACACTATGGGCCATTTTAACCTTTTATTTCAAAGCCAGATCTTGCTATGTGATGGTCCTCCCACCTCAGCCTCCCAGCTGGAAGTACAGGTATGGGCCACCACACCAAGTTCTTCTCTCACTCTTGTCAGTAAACAGGATCTTGCTCTTTTGCCTGGGCCAGCCTCCTATCTCAGCCTCCCACATCACTGGGATAACAGGTGCATGTTTAGGTTGGACCAGGAATCAAACTTGAGCCTTCCAGCCCACAGAGCACAGTCTTAGCAGCACATACCACCTTGACCGGGCCTCATTATGTTTATTTTTAAAATAATTTTTAGATATGTATCAAGCTACAAGATTTTGTCTTTTAAGAAAACTGGCAGCTGGTAACGCTTCATGCTTGCCATTATGCTTACAAATTTCAAGGCATGACTCCTTCGATATTACATTAGAAATTAAATAAAATCAACAAATAATTTTTGGGTCTTTACTATGTTGGAAATAAGAAAAATATATAAGGTATATAAAAAGAGAGGATGTAATTAATTATTGAATATTAACAAAAATGAACTTTTTTTTTTTTTTGGAGAGATTTTTCACTATAGGGCGCGTGCGCTCGCCAGACAGACAGAGAGAGAGACATTAGAGACAGAAAGCGAGAAATCACCCCCCAGGGGGGATGGTCACGCCACAATCCCTTCTCCTCCATTCTCCTCTCGGGATCTTGGGCACGCACGCACATGCGCCCGGCGTGAGTTTTAAGCCACCGGGTCCGGGACGCGAACCGCGGTCGACTGCGTGGGAGTCCAGCGACATAGCCATTACGCTAACTGCTGGTTCCCAAAAATGAACATTTATTGCATGCTCACAACATGTCCAGCTCTGTAATAAAAATGAACATTTATTGTATGCTCACAACATGTGCAGCTCTAAGAATTTATATGTATTAAATTACCTAATCCCAACAACCACTCTAGAAAGTAGGCACCATAATTATACTCATTTATCTATGGGGAAATTGAGGCTCAGAGAGGTTAAGCAATTTATCCGAGATCTCAAAGCTATGGAAGAGAGATAATTCATAATTCTAAGAATTTCTTAATCCCTTTGGGCTGCTATGGCAAAGTACCACAGACTGAGTAATTTAAAAACAACAGAAATTTGGGGCCAGTAAGTGACATGGTGGCTAAGGTGCTACATCCACCTGGCTGACTCCACAATTCTAGTCTCAGTTCCGGCAGTTTATAAGAAACACAAGGCCTGTGTTCATGCATGCCCAAAATCCCAAGAAAAGAATGGAGGAGGAAAAGAGATCGCATCATAGCCAACCCCTGGGGTAGGAGGGGAGTTATTTGTCACTTTCCCTCTCTCTGTCTCTCTCTGGCAAGCCCAAGCACGCTATGGGGGTTGGGGGGAAGAAGAAAGAGAGTGAGAGAGAGAGGGGGAAGGAACAAAGACAGACATTTATTGCCCTTAGTTCTGGAGGCTCACAGTTCTGAAAGTCCAAGACCAAGGGACCAGCAGATCTGGTGTCTGGTAAGAGCTTATCCCTTGTCATATAGATTGTGCTTCCTTGCTGTGTGATCCTGTGGGAAAAGGAAGGGACAAAATCCCTCAGGCCTCTTTTCTAAGTGCAATAATCCCATTGAGCACAGTGGAATACTCATGACCTAAAAACCTTCTGAAGGCCCCACCCCTTTTAATACCAATACATTAGGGATTAGATTTTAACATAATATTTTGAGGGAACACAAACATTTAAACCATAGCAAAGAATTCACAGAAAAGAAACTGAGAGGAGTCAGACAGTGGAGCAGGAGGAAAACACAACACGCTGCAAAACTGATCCACAGAGGAAGGTTCCCAGTTGGTGTCTGAAGATTCCCCCGGGGCATGGGCATGCATACAGCCATAATCCAGGGCTGACTGAGGCTGGGAGCCGATTGCAGTGTGAGGACCCTGTTAGAGGTGTGGTCTCTATTTCTGTCTCTATCTCTCACTCATGGAGGAAATAAATAAATTTTTTAAAAAAGTTATAATGGGACCAGGAGTTAGCGTAATGGCTATGTCGCTGGACTCCCACATAGTCAACCGCGGTTCACGTCCCGGACCCAGTGGCTTAAAACCCAAGCCAGGCACGTGTGCGTGCGTGCCCAAGGTCCCAAGAGGAGAATGGAGGAGAAGGGATTGTGGTGTGTCCATCCTCTCTGGGGGATGATTTCTCACTTTCTGTCTCTCTGTCTCTCTCTGTCTGTCTGGCGAGCGCATGCGCCCTATAGTAAAAACCTCTAAAACAAAAAAGAGTTATAAAAACTTCACAGATAGGATTTGAAGTGACCATTTTTACAGACTGATAAAATGTGGAGAGTGGAAAGATAAGGGGGAAAAGTAAGAAATTAGAAGGTGAAGTAAAATGAACAAAACCAAGACACTGGTAACCTGCTGAAGCCATGTGCAAATTTGATGAGAGGATCCCCTCAGAGCAAATAACTTCAAGGTTTAGGAAGGTGATTTTGTAAAAATATCTTGAGTCTACAGAAATCCAGTCATCATACTTGTTATAAAAACAAGTCACTGTAGGTTAGAATCCAAGTAGGTACAAATACTTTTAGTTAAGGATCTCAATATTTCCTTTTGGCTACTTGAGGCCTCACAAAGATCACAAATTAGATTTATACTGGCTTCTATTAAACATTTAGATTCATTCTAGATTAGACAAATAGAAAGTTTCATTCCATTCTGTTATTTAAGGTCTTAACAGGAAAAGAAAAAAAAAAAAATCCACCAATCTCCACAAAAGTTGTTCAGCTAAAACCATGGTGCCCTCTCAATCTTTTTTGTGTGTATGAAACGGTGGTAGAGGATTCTAGAAGTGCATCTTGCTTTTGCATCTGAAATTTAAATCCTACCATTTCTCTTCAGCAGCAAGAACACTGAACAGATCAGAGAATTTTACACGAGCGAAATCTTTCTCTAATTTTTAGAAATCATTTTGGAGTGGGACCAGCAGATGGCTTAATGGTTATGTTGCTGGACTCCCACGTCATCAACCACATCATGAGTTCCACGCCCGGCAGCTTAAAACTCATGGCGGACACGTGTGCGTGCATGCTCAAGATCCCAAGAGGAGAATGGAGGAGAAGGGATTATATCATGGCCATCCCCCTAGGAGGTGATATCTTGTTTTCTGTCTCTCTGTCTCTCCAGTGAGTGCATGTGTCTGATAGCAAAAATCTCTCTATAACAAAACAAAGCAAACAAAAAAAGAATTTTGGGGTTTCAGAGGATGAGAAGCAATACATAATGCTGTGATAGTAAATCATTTCCTCATCATCCTATGAAATATCCATCCAAGATTGTTTAAATTCCTCCCCTCAGAAGCCCCGAACCATGCTCACCTCCTATCCTTGGGAGACTGGACTGGCTGAGCTGCTCTCTGACCTGAGAAAAAGCATTGTGATGGGACTGTGTGCCCAGGCAGTGTCACAATGTGCTCATTTGGGGGCTGTGGAAATGTGGGCGGTTTGGGGGCTGGCAGTAACATCTCTCCTAATCACAAGACATGGAAACTTGCCCAGGTAGAGAGCTAATACCTCTAAAAATAGTGTTGCTTTTTCTTCCATCTCTGGATACAGATTACAGACAAACACTCATCTATTGTGTACTTGTTTTAGGTGATTAAAATATTATTCAAATGCATCTTACATTAGGAAATATCAAAACCTTACATGGAATATTTCAAGGTGGCCTCACTAGAGTGTCTCCCTACTCACCACGGGTTACACAATATCACCCTCAGTCAATGTGGGCTGCTGACGAACACGAATTCACCCTCCACGGCCCTAAAATAGAGTTATTACAGAAAAGTGAAGAACTAAACATTAAATTGGGGAAGATGGTAATCTAAGTATAAAACTCCAGAGACACAAGATAACTTATGTTTATTTCTCTTTAGTATTCTAGAAAAAAAAATTTTTCTAGCGATTTTAAAAATTCTGATGTTATAGAGAGAAAGGCAGTAATAAAAGCGTGGGTGGGGCTGCAGGAGAAGGTGGCGGTCTACACAGGAGTTAAAGCTCCTCATAATTTTCACTTGTTGGAAGAACTTGAAGGAAGACAAAAAGGAGTAGGCGATGGTACGGTTAGCTAGGGCTTTGAAGATGATGAAGATATGACACTTACAAGGTGGACAGGCATGATTATTGGGCCACCAAGGACAAATTAAGAAAACAGAACATATAGCCTGAAAGTAGAATGTGGACCTAAATACCCAGAAGCTCCTCCATCAGTTAAATTTGTAACAAAAATTAATATGAATGGAATAAATAATGCCAGTGGGATGGTGGATGCATGGAGCATACCAGTGTTAACAAAATGGCAAAACTCTTAGAGCATTAAAGTCGTCCTTCAAGAGCTATGACGTCTAATGATGTTCAAAGAAAATACGAAGCTTCCACAGCCACCAGGAGGACAAACATACAACAATTAATTTTAGAGGCTCTCAGATGTGTTTTAAATCAACAGCCTTCTACTCATGTAAATGCCTTGGTTAAATATCACAATGCAAATACCCACACATTAAGTGAAATAATTCCAGCTGGTAAACACGACCGGCCATTTGTAAGAATGTATTTAATATCTGTGCACCCGTTACGTTTTCAGGTAACGAGGGAAAATGCAGCACAATTCTTTTCTCTTGTTAAGGCGCTGTCATTTCAACGTGAGCCTGGAGTGCTCGAAACAGAATTCGAGTTTTCAAGATGAAAGCATGGCAAGAAGTGTCAGATGGCAGTGGTGTCAGCAGGTGTGTTTCTGAAAAGTGAAAAATCTCAAGAAGGAAAAACAGAAATGGTACGCTTTATCCATCTCGCTTAGTGAAAGAGCTGCAGTCGAAATTGTTTACAGTAGCAGGTACAATGAATATTGTCACAAATTATGCTAATTTTTGAAGTGGTGTGGGTGCTGACTCCTAGTAGTATCAAAAATATGTTCAGGATTGTTTTGATAGCTGTAATTATAATTAAAAAATGTTGGTGGGGTGTATTGATTAATTTCTGTTAAAAGCTGTTCCTGTGTGTTACATGTAACAAACATGGTAAATATTTGTTTACAGTTTTGTTTAACAAACCATGCATTAAAGTTGAAGTGAAGTCACCAAAAAGGAAATAGGTGTATGGATATGTGATTTTGAGATTAAAGTTAGTCTTAAAATGTAAATAAAATGTGGAATGTGTCCTCAGAAAGAAAAAAAAAAAGAGTGTGGGTTTTAGGTCAGGCAGCTTAGGTTCTACTCCTGGCTCTGTCACTTACTGGCAGCATGACTTTGAGCAATAACCTTGACCTTAACTATCTGCGCCTTAGGCTCCCCATCTGTGCAGTGGAGATGGCAATCGTATCTTCATCGTATTCTTACATGGATGAAATAAAACACTACAAGTACGATGTTTAAAACTATGCCTGGTGTAAAGGAAATCCTCAGCCAGCATGAACTAGTTACCCTGTTTGTATCATTCTATTCACTGCAGCAAGTTGTCAGCCTACCTCTTCTGAATTGCCAGGGATCTCTAGCTAGTTTAGGGTTGCTCTCAAACCATTTACTATATTCTCAAGTCCCTGATGATTTTTAAATCAGCAAATACCTGTGTCAAAGCAATTTCTTGAAAGCATTATTACAGAAAGCACAATCTTAAGTTCTAATTTAGCCAATGAAATCAACACTTAACATGAAATGATATCAGATCAGTGTAAATACAGTGTCATCGAGAGCATTTTTCCAAGCTGAAGAATACCGGGAACATTTAAGAGATCAGGATGTTTTTAATCTCCTATATGAGATGACAAGCCGTTCTTATGCTGTGGTAAAATGCTCCTCCCTTTGGACACACAAAGAAGTTCATCTCATCTGAACTCATCTTTTCCTCTGAGTATTTCTTTAGGACTGCAAGGATGGACGAGTGTAATACCTTTCTCACCCATCAAAAACATCACAGCTGGTGCCCGGTGCCACAGCAGAGATCACACTGACCCTCCACCCTTCCTCTCTGAGCATTTCCCTCTTCCCTTTTCAGGGTGAAGCTCTTCCTTCAGGAGTTTCTAGATTTTTTTTCCCCCTAATCCAACATGTTCATTTGGGTTTGCTCACTTGACCTTGTGGAGATCCCCACAGCCACTGGGCATCCTAGGTGAATCTGGCCTTGGTTGGGCTCTGCCGAAGACAGTGGACTAAGTGTGAAGCAGCCTCTCGCCCTATACCCTTGCCTTCCCATCAGGACATTCTTTAAATTATAAGCATCCTTTTTAAAAAGAGGTATGAAGATGTATGAATCCATCCTTTTATTCACTGACTCTAAGAGTCAACTTTTCTAGTGCATATCCTCTTGCCAGCATAAGGATGAGGAGGGGAAGGAAGGGGTGTTAATTCCTTGTAGAGCAGAAACATTAGACTTGCTGTATCCAGGCTGAAAAAAACAAACAAACAAACAAACAAACAAACAAACAAACAAAAAATCACAGCTGGCACTCCTGGAATAAAAGATGAGCTACCAAGAGAAAAGCAAATGAACTGATTTAGTCAGATTGTTATGTGACATGGGAGCCTTCAGAAATGACACAGAAACTCAGAGAAAACTATTTTTATGCCTGGGATTGGTGACGAATGGACAGCTGTGTAAAAATGTGGAGGGGGAGGGACTAGACTTTGCCAAGCTTATATACATATCTTGACAACAAAGTAAGAAATACGATGGGACAAAAGGGTAAAGCATAATGGTAGCAGACGGCGAGCAGAACTCAGAGGGGCCTGTCCGGATTCTCCTTGGCCTTCCGGGGCCGTATTCCTTCTTCCCAGGGAGGGGCTAGGATCTCTCATGAATGAGGGTCTTATGACCTACTATCAGACTAGGTAAATTAGAAAAATCCTTTGGATCAGCTCCTACTCAGAAAGGTAAGGAAGGGTAGAATAATATTTCTAGGTTTTATGGGATGATTTGGGGAAGGGAAATTCCAATTTCTCTCTCTCCTTCTCTCTCTCTCTCTGTCTTAGATTTCTTTTCCATAGGGCACATGCACACGCTGGAGACAGAAATAGAGGGAAAGTGAGAAATCACCCTCCCCCCCATGGGGTATGGCCATGCTGGAACCTCTCCTCCATTCTCCTTTCGGGCACGCATGCACACACACCTGGTATGCTTTTCTAGCTAGAGTCCAGGACTCAAACGGCGGAGTCAGTCATGTGGGATACAGTGACTTCACCCACCATATCACCTGCTGGCCCCAGGGAGTTCTCATTTCTCCGGCTCATTTTGTGGGAGAGAGAGGGACAGGGATCAGGAGGGCATGAGAAAATCAGAAAGAGCTTTCCGCTAAGGCCTATTTTTCTTTCGTTTAAAGTACTCAGCATGTGAAAATGCCATACTTTAGGGTGTTGTTTTTCTGAGTGTCAATAGAAGTAATCAGTGCAGTTAGCTCACAAGTACACACACACACACACACACACACACACACAACCATTCTTTAATATTAAAAAGGAAAAGATACTTTTGAGAATAAAAAGATAAAATGCAAAATATGTCTAATTACGTTAATAAAATGTTATCACACTGGCCATAATTCATGGTGCCTTTTCCTTGAAATCCCATTATCAGAAGCCCTCATTGCTAATAGACCGATACTAAATATTCCTCAGGAACAGGGATGGAAGGCTGTACATCCGACAGCATGCCTAGAAAACCATTCATAGAAAACAATGCTTGTAATACTAGGAAAGATTCAGGGAAGGACAGTTAAGAATACAGAGTTATCCTACCTATGTCCAACTAGTAGGAAGGAAAAAGTTAGCATGGTCAAGAACGGTGAAGTGTCTGAAATTTTGACCCTTCCTAGCAACTGAAACATTTGTCTGCCACCCTTTCTGGGCTGTCGATAGAAGACATAAGATTCGTAGATCAGAAACATGAAATCTGTACTACTTACAGCAAAAGCAGTATACAGGTATCAGCATTTGTGTATCAGTTCTTGAGCCCTGATTTTCACAGAGAGAGTCCAAGAGGGCCGGAAAGCAGCTACATACACAGTGGGTTGTACTACAGGAGAGGAACCCTGAGCCGAGGGAATGTGAGCCTCCTATAACGAGTACTAACTATATGTCTGCCCTTCACTCTGGGAACAACGTTATTGTTATGATTCTAGACAGTAAATATGCCAGCCTTTTACTTCAGAGGAAGACATTATTTCTACTTTTCAAGGCTACTCATTGTCCCAATATCTTTGATCCAGTCAGTGCCCCGATCACAAGATGTACAGAAACTCTGGCAACTCGTGGAGAACTGTCTTCCAACAGTTATCAATAAACACTCTGTCACTCCTTTGAATGCTCAGATGCCATATCTGTCGTATACCAGTTGCAACTATTTCTATAAGAATGTGTCAACCCCAGAGGCCAGCAGGAATCTGTAAAAGCAAGAGAACTGTTCCTCAGCATAGGGGAACACGGCTACGCTATTACCAGTGTGAATGGGCATTCTTTGGCCTATTAAAAATGAAAAGCACTCTATTATGACTGAAGTATATAAGAAGAGTAACTGAAGAAAACAGCAGGTGGCTTATTTTGGTTAACAGTCATCACAGGTGTTAATAGTCTGTAATTCCTCTCTCTTCCCAAGGAGAACATACTTATGATGGTTCTGCAATCTTTGACTGTAGAATAACAATTAAAATACTCTATTCTGTGGGATTTTATCTTTCTGGAAATATGGATAGGTATGACAAAGGAATCAGTGAAAGGAATTTGGAGTGATACTAGGATTAGAAAAGTAAAACAGTATTTTTAGTGTAGGACTTCTCGTAGCCATAAGCATGTTAACATGAATTGTGAATTTCCAAGAGTGATATAGTGTTTCCCAAGCAAATTTGATCACAGGTCTCTGTTTCTTAGAATATCACAAGAGATAGAGTGCTTTAGAAAGCTACCTAGAAATGGGACCAGCAGTTGGCGTAATGGCTATGTCGCTGGACTCCCATGTAGCTGACCACGGTATGAGTCACAGGCCCAGTGGCTTAATCCAATGCCAGCTGTGTGTGCGTTCGTGCCCAAGATCCCGAGAGGAGAATGGAGGAGAAGGGATTGCGGCATGGACATCCCCCTGGGGAGTGATTTCTCACTTTCTGTCTCTCTGGCGAGCACCTGTGCCCTATAACAAAAACCTCTCCAAAAAAAAAAAAAGAAAGAAAGAAAGAAAGAAAGAAAGAAAGAAAGAAAGAAAGAAAGAAAGAAAGAAGGAAGGAAGGAAGGAAAGAAGGAAAGGAAGGAAGGAAGGAAGGAAGGAAGGAAAAGAAAGCTGCCTAGGATCACCTCTCTAGAGGAATGGCCCTCACTCACTGGCCATAGATCGCAGAGGACAGTTGTACTTTGAGAAAGGATGGTTGACTGTCTGCTCTGCCCTAGACTGATTTCTTGTAGAGAGTAGTTAGCCCCCAAGGATGCCTTCTCACTTCCTTGATTAAATTCTGGAGCCTACATATATTGTTGACAGAAATCGAAGGAGGTTAAATATGTATCATTTTAAGTTCGATGTGAAAAATGTTAGCATTGAATAAGCCTCAAGAAATAATTTATCCCAACCCCTTCACTTTCAGATAAGGACTGAAGATATTAAAAGAATCATACCACAGGACCAGCAGTTAGCTTAATGGCTATGTCGCTGGACTCCCATGTGGTCGATCGTGGTTCAAGTCCTGGACCTGGTGGCTTAAACTCACTCTGGGCACATGTGCGTGCATGCCCAAGATCCTGAGAGGAGAACGAAGGAGAAGGGATTGCGGCGTGGACATCCCCCCTGGGGGGCGATTTCTCGCTTTCTGTCTCTCAGTCTCTGTCTTTCTGGAGAGCCTGGCGAGTGCATGTGCCCTATAGCAAAAACCTCTCCAAAGAAAAAGTCATCCCAAGTCACAAAGATATTCGTTGAAGGAGCCTGACTGAAACATAGGTCTCATTAATCCCAGTCAGTACTCTGTTCACTAAAAGCAGCAGAAGTAGCCGTTACTAATCACTATCACTGACACTGAAAAGGAAAACCACACTTTGTTGTTGTTCCTAGAGAGGCCAAAAAAAAAAAAACCCACATGATTTTAATTCAGGAAATTAAGAAATGACCTTCAAAAATACTCAAAAAATACATTGTATGTCACTATGGGTATTGGCTTTAATTGAGAGCACGTCTGAGTACGGCTATAGCATTTTCCAAAT